GCCCCCTGGGGACCCCTGCCCCATCCAGGGCCGCCCAGAGGGGGGGCCAAGTGGAGTAATTTGCCCCAGGCCCCTGGCCCCACAGGGGCCCCCATCAGAATATAGTATTCTATAGTATTGCAACTTTTTTGTATGGAAGGGACCCCGAAAATTGCTTTGCCCCAGGCCCCCTGAATCCTCTGGGCGGCCCTGGCCCCATCCACCCCTCTCTGTCCCCTGACTGCCCCCAGAACCCCTGCCCCTGACTGCCCCCCGCTGCCCCATCTAACCTCCCCCCTTTCCTGACTGCTCCCCCGGGGATCCCTGCCCCCATTCAACCCCTGTTCCTCACCCTCTGACCGCCCTGACCCCTATCCACACCCCCGCCCCCTGACCACTACCCTGAACTCCCCTGCCCTCTAGCCAACCCCCCCTGCTCCCTGCCCCCTTACCGCACTGCTTGGAGCACCGGTGGCTGGCGGCACTACAGCCGCACCGCCCAGAGCACCAGGACAGGCCGCGGCTCTGCAAGAGCCCTGCTGCCCAGATCATTACGTCGGCCGGGGCGAGCTGAGGCTGAAGGGGAGGAGGAACAGCGGGGGAGGGTCCAGGAGCCAGCCTCCCGGGCCAGGAGCTCAGGGGCCAGGCAGGAGGGTCCTGCAGGCCAATAGTTTGCCCACCTCTGGACTAGATCCAGAGGTGGGTGGAAAGCTGAAGATCCCCAGTTTAAGGTCAGGAACAGTTACTTCTATCACCTTGACAGAGAGGCCTTGGGCCAGAAGTTGGGTGCTCTAACCACAGGCCACCCGACCCTCTGAGCTCTCTATCACACACGTAGTTCCTCTGCCCACCCGTCCTGGGGGATTATTCCATCCAGGCCTTTAGAGCTCAGGAGCCAGATTCCCCTGCTGGTCACATGAAGACCATCCAGCAGCACGTTTGTTCTGCAAAGGGGCAGAGCAGTGCTCTGTGGTATCATCAGAGCCTGTTACTCTGATTGTCACTTGCTGCCTCTACCACCCATTCCATAAAGAATTTAAACTGGTGTGTTAACTGTAAAGAAGATAGGATACTGGAGAAAATCAATTTCTCTGTGAAAAGGCTCTGATAGTCCTTAAATGGCTGAAGATTATAAATGCCTCCAGGTGCTCAGGCAAAGTTTTAGCACTTTCACCCCTCCCCATAAACTATGAAAGTTTCCATGGCCAAAGGGATAAGACTGCATGTAATATGACAACTGGAGTGCACGTTTACTCCAAGAAAACTCATACACTTAGGAATGCATGGATAATTTTTGTACTTAAGACTGGCTTAGTGCCTTTAAGCAAATGCCAGCCAGGCAAATAAAAGTACAGTTGATGGACATACACTGTACTCCACACCAGAAATGTGTAATAGCATCTAGAAACTTTTTGAACCGACTGTAGTTTTGATGGGAACCAGACTGTCCTGGAGCAGAAATATATTGAGCACAACTGAGGTAAGGAAGGGAAACATTTTTTTTAAAATTGACCTTTTCTTGAAATCCTAGAAACCAGTGATTACTGTGAAAGATGTAAATAGGCTCTAGTGCCCCCGGCACAGCCTACACACTGGTGTGTAAGGAAGGCATTCACAATGTGCTTTTCTTGGAACCTTAGTGGGTAATACTAGAAGCACAAGTTCTGGCCTGATGAGGAGCATTTTGTTGCATATAATAGCATTATGAGTTGCCTGGGAGATGGCAGGAGGTATTTGAGCAAAAATGATACCCAGTGAATACTGAAGCTGCGCAGCAATGCTTAGCTGCTACATAGCACTTCTCATCCCTAGATTTCAAAGCATTATGTAAAGGTGGGTAAATATCATTAGCCCCATTTTATAGACGGAAAAACTGAGGCGCAGACAAGTTAAGGCCCAGTCTTCTAACCCTGGGTGCCTCCAGTTCTGGGTGTCCAACTTCAGACACCGAGGCTGAATCCTGGCCCTACTGAAGTCAATAGGAGTTTTGTTTAGGTGGGGTCAGGATTTCATCCCAAGAGCCTGATTTTTTAAAGTTGCAGAGCACAAACAATTCCAACTATTGGTCAGAGCAGACAATGTTGAGCACCTCTGAAAATTAGAATCAGAAAAGTAGTGAACTGAAAACTCATGAATTTCAAATATTTGGGAGGTGGGGGATACATGTTTTATGAACATCTGCTCAAAAATGTCCCTATTTATTTTAACCATATCTAGTAAAAAAACAGTTTGAGGCTAATTGTCCCCTCACACCCACGTAAATCAAGAGCAAGTCCACTGACTACAGTGGTGCTACCATTAAATTATAGCAGGGAAAGTGAGAAGAGACCCAGGTCCCATATGTCAAAAAGTTGCGTGGGTGTAAAACTGGTGTAAGTGTGAGACTCCAGTCCAACAGGCACCTAAAGAACTTTATGTGCACCTGCTCTAGTGCCTACGGGAAAGGTAGGTGCATAAGTGACTTTCAGATGTGGGAATGGTGTGATAAACATATGCAGGATCTCTATGGAACCAGCATTAGCTGCACCCAAATTCTGAGCATAGTGGGTGGGTCCAAGGGGCAAAGTGGGACTTTCAGTATGGACGGGTGGGGGAGAACAGTGCTTGGCTAGACTGGGGCACCCTGGATTTTAGCATGATCGGGAGATGCCTAATGCATAAGGCACAATTGGAGGTGAACCCAGCATTCAGCACAGGAACAAAAGAGGTAGCAGCTGGGACAGGAAGACCTCCAGTCACCCTGCGAGATAGAACGGACAGGATGGATGGGGGAAGGGGAAGCTTAATGATAGGCAATGTGTGTCAGGCTCCCAGTGGTTTGGGGAGATAGAGAAGGGACACAGGCAGGGTTTGGATGGAGGAAGGAAGCAGGAGACTAGCTGGCCACAGGAAGGCAGGTTGGGTTAGGGACGAAGGGAGATTGGGGAGTTCTACATCCCTGAGGCAGCTGTGAGAGAGGCGCATGCTCTTCACCTTCTACCAGTGCACAGCAGTTATGGTTGTGTTTCCTGGGGCTCACCAAGCTGGAGGACAGGCATAGAAGCACAGGCTCCACTAGGATGGCATCCAAACCCTCTGTGGTGGGCTCAAAGACAACCTGGAGACCAGGAGCCAGCAGAACCCATAAATTATCCGTGGCTGAGAATGTCACCATGGTCCTGGGCGTCATGGCAACTGGTTCTTTGCCGTGAACAATTGGCCAGACCATGGCCATCAGCTAGTCTGTGGTCTCTAATGGTAACAAGCTGCTTCAATCACAAGCATAAGCTGATGCTCACTTTCCTGTCTCTCATGAATTTTTTTGTTTCACTTCACAGCTAAACCCCATTTATCTCCTTTATTCTTCTTTTATTGCTGGAGGAGGCAGTTTCCACTCCTGATAACACACTGAGCTGCTAGTCACCAGGCAGTCACTAATATTTCCTCATCACAAAGCCATCACCGCTGCCTTGACAAATTACCCAGTGTATTTTGGATAAGCCTTGCTTTTTAAATAGATGCTGCTGGTAAAAATAGTATGGACTTAACTGGGCAGAAAATTGGGGTGTTGAGAGAAATGATTTGCAGCAGTAGCACCAAAAAGATGAAACGACAAAAGTTTTGGTGGTAAGGCTCTTAAGCTGCAGTCCGTTAGGATTGGAACTTTCTTGAAAGATCACTATGAAACACCATGTAGGCCACTTTGATATGACACAGATTATCTGGGGAAAATCTGGTCACTGAACCCAATGAGGGAGAGCTTAAATTCTGGTTGATGAGACAGCTTTGCCTTCCGCACACTGGGAGACTATTCCTGCCTTGAACTCAAAGTCAGTGCAAAGGGACCCTAGCTGATTTTATTCTAGTAGGTCTCCGCATTGCTAGTGTCTCAGACTGAAGAGCTGTGCATCCCAGACGAATAAATGAAAGGTGCAGCACTAAAGAAAAGGGGACTTGAAGGATATCCCTCAGGGAAGGGAACAGGCAGGACTAGAATTGGTTCGTTAAGCCCAAACAATTGTCCCCATGTACCATGACCAACATTTTTCAAATTGAGATGCCCCGAATCACAAACCTAAATTCCATATACAGTGTCACCTAAATAAGAAGTCTTTTTTTTTTTAAAAGGTTTTTGGCACATCTGGAAATCAAGTCACTTTTAATAGATAGCTAAAAATATATTTACGAGTCTAACTTTAGGAACCTACACTTGAATATTTTGACCTATATGTTTTGAATGAAAGAATGGAAATGCAAAACTATATATTAAAAACACAAACTAACTAAGAAGCAATAGCAGCACCACAAAAATCAAAGTGTGTAGTGATTTCTTTTGCCCACACATCTTTCAAAGTGATATGTCTCCATGGACCTGTCTTAGCATCTCCATCACCATGTCAAATAGCAGATTGTTTCTAGTCAAGGAAACAAAATGAGACTGCACTGGAACAGATGTGCCATAAATCTACTTAGGGCTGGTAGTGTCCCCACAAAATGAGAAAGTGCTTAGGCAGAGAAATGAGGAATAGCATATGTTACAACATCAGACACCCTGCCTGCAACTAGTATAGGCGCACACCCTTGCTTTACTTACAGTACAATCAGCACAGAAAAAAATCTATTCATTAATAATAGTTAGCTGCTTTTTAATTGATAGTTTTCAAAATACTGTACTCTGGTGAGTAATTAGCACTATCCCCATTTCCCATAGAGACGTGACATGCTCAACGCTGCATAGTGAATTGGTGGCAGACCTGAGATTTTCCCATCTGCCAGTCCAATGCCCAATCCACCAGACCATGCTCTCAACCCTTGAAGTCCTTTAGCATTTAACAGAGATGAAACCATTAGAATTCTTTAGAAATTGCTGTACTAACCTACTGATTTTAATAGAGTGAAGAGCCATACTATAGCAGGGATATAATTTCTATTAGATAAAATTCCGTAGGCTTTTTGAGAAGGGAAATTTTTACCATCCAGGGACTAAAAAAAACAATTTTCTATTTCACTGAAATGAAATAAAATGTGCTCATGGGACTTAGTCCTGACTTACATTCTATGCCTTTATTCACTGAAAGATTATAGTACCACATAGAAGAGCATAACAATCAGTCAAATATGGCAAGAAATAGGCACTGTGAGATACATTGGGGTTGTTTGACAAGGCAAAAGTTGGCGTAACAGCTGTTATACTGGAGTTCTGGACTCTGCTATTAACTTAATGCAGCATTTTTACATTATTCTAACTGATTGACTGTTTACGTTACAATTCCAAACAAGTTGATAATGTGTATATTATAAAAGTACAATAGGGCAAAAGTGCTTTTCCTCCACTACATTTTATGTCTGACTGGAGGGCACATTTGTGTCCACTGCTTTAGACTGTATACACGTCTGAGGCTTAGTTCTTTATATTGTTTAATATCCTCTCCAGCTGTACTTTCGATTGTGCAGTACCTTTTTGAGAGCTAGCGAGACTTTATCTAACACAAAATGAAAGCCACTGTGCAAAGTTACATTTTTCACTTTGAATTTTTTTTAAAGCAGTCAGTTAATATCCTGATGAATTCTAAGACACCTTTACACAAAAGTTACTTTATCAACAGAAAAGCTTGTTGCTGTCTGTAAGCAGGTGATGTTCACAATTTGGCCTGGACAGAGTATACTAACATTTTATAAAATCCAAATTTAGGCCTCAATCCTACAATTAACAGTCTGCCCACATGATGTCAGTTCCCAGATCTGAGTCTTACCTCCTTCCTGGAATGTAACTTTATGGGTAACAAATATCAGTGAAAACACTTCAGTCTATGCTGCTTTCATCCCCAAACTGGCTGTTCTTGGGGTTTGCCCTGCAGATCTCCTCTGTCCCATCCACTAGTTTCTTCTATCTCAGGGAGAGGCTCCAACCCATCTTATATTTCTTGAATGGAGAGAGTGACTCAGTTAAAACACCTTGACAGATATATGTAGGCTCCAAGTATCTGAATCAAGATAATGCAGCAGAAAAGCCCTGGAATCTGTCACCCTATTATGTCTCCTTTCGTTAGCCCTTCCTTTGCAGCTGTCACATTATTTAGCATGGATAACATGGACAGTAGCCTACGACATAGAGGAAGGCTGCTTGAGTATCTGTTTGCACTGCTATAAAAGAAAACTAACAGGTTCTACTTACCATTGCAACAAACATACGCCTTCCCAGCCTAGCCCTTCCTATCATTTCTCAGTCAGTATCAAGATGTTGACTCCCACCGCCATTCAGCCCAGAATACCAGCCTCAATCGCCCACTTGTTAAATTTTTGAACAAGCACCTTTGTGCTTTCTCCCATGCTGCCTCTCATGCTTTGGAGGGGCTCCCCATAAACATCCACTGAGCTACCTCCTCCCCCTCCTTCAAAACCCTCCTTAAATCTCTCCTTTGCTGAGATGACTGTAAGAAACTTCACAACAGTTTAGGCTGCAGGTATGCTGCGATCACTTCCTATCATGCTGACCAGCATTGTGTCCTTGTACTCCCCCATTAGTCTGTCTCTACCTGTTATCTCTTGTCTAATACTTACATTGTAAGCTCTTTGGACAGGGATAGGATTTTTTTTTGTTCTGCATTTGTATTGTACCTAGCATAATGGGGTTCTGGTCCATGACTAGAATGCTTAGGCCCTATGGTAATACAAATAATACAAAAATAGTAAGTTCAGGTAAAGTAATGGGTTGTATCAATAGAGTTTTATCTCAAGCAGGTTAAAAATAAAAGTAATAAGGACTATTCAGCTCGTTGTGGATGGAGGTGCACACACAGGCTCACCAAGTCACAAACGACCCTTTACCTCAAATGCATGCATTGCCTCCTGCCTTTCCCTCACCTGTGCTGTTTGGCAGTCCTAGCCTCAAACAGAAACTTACTGGTGTTAAACTGTAAAACAAGGAGGTGGTAACTAGCAAACAATTGCTGGTAAAAACCTGACAAGCTGAGTTACAGAGACAGCCTATGATTTAAAAGACACCAAATGTAACTTGGGCTATGCCTACACTACATCATTTACATTCATATAAAGAAGTGGGGGTTTCCTTCTATTTTGCAACTGCGTAATCAAGAACTAACTATGTGGCAGCAGAATCATTTGTTACTGAAAGAATTTCACTGTCCTGAAAGAGAGAATCGGAAAGAAAATTTATTACACCTCTAGCCATCCATTCTATCTCGCCATCCATCTGTCTATTCTGTCTAGCCATCTGTTCCATCTAGGCACCCATTCCACCTATCTAATCATTTATCCATCCTGTGCTCGTCAAAGTGGTTTCTGAGCAATTTGGCAATCACAGCAAAGTGACAGCAATTCAGATTTGTTTTTAATGCTATTTCTTTTTATTTGTTCTTAGTAACTGTAGGGCTTATTAGCAAAATAACCCTTATACCTAAGTGGAGTTGATATAATGCATCTTATTCTGATGACAGAAAACAGTTGAATGATGTAGTGTAGCATTTTAAAATCCTTTTTAAAAAGAGATTTTTCTCCTCTGAATCAGGATCCCTAAGCTGGGCACAAAATCTCCTCTTTTATCAGTTAGGTTTGTGCTGGTAGTCTGCAATAAAGCAGTAAAGCTAAAAGTCCTAACGGAGGCACTTCAGACAAATATGGAACAGCAACAAGAGCAATGCAAAAGCGGATACTCTCCCACTGTTGCCTCCTACTCACAATCTTCCCAGAGGCCCTAAATTATAATTGAACATACTTCTAAATCAGGGGTTTTCAAACTTCATTGCACCACGACCCCCTTCTGATGATAAAAATTACTACATGACCCCAGGTGGTGGGGCCGAAGCCTGAGCCCAAGCCCCACCACCTCAGGCGGGAGGGCCAGAGACAAATCCCAAGGGCTTCAGCCCCAGGCAGGGGGCCTGTAACCTGAGCCCCACCACCCAGGCTTCGGCCCCATCTCAGGCTTCGGCCCCAAGCCCCAGAAAGTCTAAGCCAGGCCTGGCGACCCCATTAAAACGAGGTCCTGACCCACAGTTTGAGAACTGCTGTTCTAAATCAAATCTAGTTGAAATGCATCCAGTCTACTCATCTAGTACCCTCTGCTGGGCTATTCCTGGTGCAGCTCTGGCAGGAGGGCCAGTCTGTTACTCTCTGTCTGACACAAAAGGTGCTGTGACTGCAGTGCAGCCTCAATTGGACCTGGAGGGAGAGGGAGACAGACACAGATTGAAAAAAAATACTAAACAGCAAAAAGTTGACATAGTTCTGAAATATAAAAAATCCCTTCGTTTAAAAAAATAAAGCTAGTTGCTCAAGTTAAAATATCCTATAGTCATGAAGATATTTCTGTTAAACTAAGAAAATCTGGGATGAATATGCAGCGGATGCACTGTCACTGAACAATACAGATTGTGGAGCTACAAAAGAATGTCCTTACAAATCATACTGCATAAGAGTAGTAACGCTTTTTTTAAAAAAAAAAATCTTGTACCAAAAAACAATAGAAAATATTTTTTTCTCTTCTCAGTTAAGAATTATTTCAAGGTGGATTGGAAAGTGTTCCAGGCAGTGAACTTGCTAAAATTCATCTCGATTTAAGGCATATCAACATGAACAGAGAAGGAGGCTATAAATATGCCCATTAAGCATGCACAGGTAATACTGATACACGTTGAAATGTTGCTTCTCTAGATTGTGCATTAAGGCAAAGAGAGCGGAGACTTTTAGTCTTCAGTAAGAGTCCATTTTAATTCTTCTGTGTAGACAGCAGGTAAAAATCATCCCACAGCTCTGTGTTTAAAACAAAACAAAAATAAATTATTGTACCACGTCAGTAGTGGATGGAAAACACTAATGCACATTAGCAGAGCTAATCCAATTTCATGGAACCAAAATAAGATTTTTTAAAAGGCCTTTTTATTTGCATAGTAATCAAATTTCCATTCAGTCAGATATGGATTTTATTTTTCCATTAATACCGTATTGACAAACAGAACTCTAAAACGTCAACAACAAAAAGAAGAACAGGAGTACTTGTGGCACCTTAGAGACTAACAAATTTATTAGAGCATAAGCTTTCGTGGACTACAGCCCACTTCTTCGGATGCATATAGAATGGAACATATAATGAGGAGATATATATACACACAAGTACTCCTGTTCTTCTTTTTGCGGATACAGACTAACACGGCTGTTACTCTGAAACTTGTCAACAACAAAGATTCCTTATACAGAACACCACAAGCTCTTATGATGCCTGATTTCTACGCCCACCACAGGGGTGGACTTTAGGCCCAAGCTCACTGCACATCCAGGGGCCCTTCTTCCTGCTGCCAGACAATTAATGGTTCTGGTAAAGGTACTGCTTGTTGAGATGCACCCTTGCGAGGTGCCAAGCACATCCTGGGAGGCTCTGAATGCTACCACCCCCACTGAAGTCAATAAGTCTGATCCTGCTGCCAGTGTGAGTTTCCCCATTGACTTTAGTGGGGGCAGCATTAGGGCTAACAGAGCTCGGCATCTCAGACCAGATTCACTGACCATGTGCTCTCCCAGCACTCTTAGGCCTCTGTTCCCGTCTCAGCTTCTTCTCATCCATCTGCACTTGGGCCTGACACATTGTGCTGGAGACCAGCTCTTCCCCCTATACTTTACTCACTGCACTCTGCATCGGATCAGCTTTTGCCATTGCTTGGCAACTGGTGGAATATTGTTGGTGTATGGAGGTTAGGCGTCCAGTCACAGGTAGGATGAGGCTGGATGGTGTCCTGCCTGTCCTACTTTGCACAAAACATAGGTGCTGTCCTGCCCCCAACACATCAGCATGTCAGCTATTTCCTTTCCAAGTGGGACAAGAGAAGCACCTAATCCTCGTCCCTCAACATATGATTTCCATTGGTGTTGGGGGAGTAGGGGGAGGCTTGCGGGATCAGACCCTGTCAAGGAGAGCCATGTCGACAGATCTCTCAAAGACAGCATCTGTGTCCTGACTGGAGTCCTTTGCATCCATCTCCTCAGCTGTTTTTTTCTTACCTTTGTCTTGTTTGTTACAGTAGGTTAATTTCTGGCAGCTATTTTTCCATGCTCCAGAATGTTAACATCACCATTCTATTTATAGTTCCCGTGCTGACACTTGGTAATGAAAATATATTTTCAAGGCTTGTATGCGCTCCTCTGGCTTTCTCCTTTTCACCTCCCTGACCCTACTCTTACTTCTTGGATGACTGACACTTTTCATGCTGCCAGGCAAAATTAGTTGAAAAGAGGAGCATTTCCAAAGTTGAAAAGGATTTAACCACCCCCCAAACCAGTCTAATTTAATTTGAGAACAATCTGATTGTTCCTTGAGCACTGACCGTATTGTCAGAACTCTGGATATCTCCAGAGATGTAGATTAATGAAGAACTGCAGAGATTAGGCAAAAAAATCCCAACTGTTTCAAATCAAGATCTTGCCTGTGCTTAGACAGAACATATACAGAAGCCTAACCAGAGCTACGTTAGGTAGCTGGAACGTCATTCAGAGGAAAGTAGACACAGAATCTTGGTCTTGGCAAACAAGCAAAGGTGCAAATGATATTTTACGCTTTACTGCGTTTCTGAGCTGTAAATCAGCCCAATGCAGAGGACCCAGGCCAGGCCACACTCACCTCTTAAACCCATGGGGCCAAATCCTGATCCTGCTGACATCGATGACAAATTTTCATTGACTTTGAGAATGGGATTTGGTGCTAAAGCACAAAATCCGGGTCCCAGCACCTGTTCTCTGCAGCTAGACCAGGCATAGGGGTTGGGGGAGAGGGGAAGAATATTCTTCCCCAAACTATGGGGCAGTTGAGGAGATGATCCACAAAAGTTGCTTCAGTCATGGTAACCACCACTGGGCCTTATGCAGTCCTCTGTGGGGCAAAGGACCAGAGGCCCTGAACTGGATGGGACTTTCTGGCCAGCCCATGCCTCACCCCTTCCTGCCTGGTGCAGGTGGACCCTGCAGCGATGAGCACTGTGCTGAGCATGAAGTCTGCTCCTCTGGCATGGTTCACCCTCCCAGTCCCCCCGTTCCCAACAGGACTCCATTAGTCCCACTGCATGTGGCCCAGATCTCTACTCCATTATGCAGCACTTCAGTGATGTGGGGGCCCTGAAGTGGCTGTCTCTGCTCTGGGGCAAATTTCATCTTGAATGCTAGAGAATCTCATCGAGTTTGCTCATTTGCTAAAGCAGGCCATTCGCCCTCTGAATGTGCGTGCAGTGCATGTGGATCTGCTGTCACGTCCATTTTCTGCCTCAGCTGCTTCTACTAATAAGGCTTTGATGCACATCTTGACTTAATTGCCGTCAGACTCTCTTGGCAGGTCATTTAAACAGAGCATCTCCATGAAGCTGAAGCAGGTGCTTGTTTTCCAGTTCCATGACAAGGGGGGGTCTGCCGGAGCAAGGGAGGGAGCTGCAAAAGCTCTACAACCAACTCACAGACAAGACAGCTTATTACTAGTTTGACAGTGCACCGTAAACACAGTGGGCCTGATTCTCATTTACACCAGAGCCACTTTATACAGCTCTAGGAGTGGAAAAGAGCCTTAGAGTGAGTGTAAATGTCATTTACTCCCTCTTCAAGGTCTCTCTGCGCTGTAGAGCAACCTTCGTGTATATGAAAATTAGGTCCACAAACCTGAAAGTGCTGCTGGATTCCACACAGGGGCTCGGCTCTAAACAGAAATAACAAAAAGACCTGTTTGTTGCAGGAGAGATTTCAGACTGAGGTCCAGTCCTGGCAATCAGAGCTAGCTCCACTCACCACTGGGTTGAAAAATGGCACACAACTGATTATTGCTGGTGCCATGGCTTTGTTATTATTTGTATTGCAATGGCACCTACATGCTCCAGTGAAGGAGCAGGGGCCCATTGGCCTAGCCCCAATATATAAGAGCTCATAATCTACATCTATGATGAGAGACAACAGGTGGATACAGCAAAGAGATGGAGTAATTGCTGGTAATTGAAGAGATTTTGTCTTTGTTTAGGGCCTGATCCTGCAATGAGTAATCCTTACTTAAAAGAGTTCAGTGGCCTTAAACATTTGTGCGAACATAAGATCGTATCCAGACCCCACTGAAGTTAATGGGTGCTTTGACGCTGACTTCAATGGGATCAGGATTTCTCCCATATGAACTGCCAGACAAAATAAGGCCAGTGGTACATCTAGCCCAATATTCTGTCGCTGACAGTAATTCCAAGGAAGATACAAGAAACTCTGTAAAGGACAATTAAGGAATAACCAGCCCATAGGGAAAATTTCTAAGCATGAAGGTTTATATCCCTTGTAATTTATTTTATCCTATCCAATGTAACTGTGGTTCTTCTCATTATCTGTATGAACAACCAATCCTTTTTTGGAATCCTGCTAAGCTCTTGGCCTTTGCAATTAGGTAACTTTATTGGCAAAAAGAAGAACAGGAGTACTTGTGGCACCTTAGAGACTAACACATTTATTAGAGCATAAGCTTTCGTGGACTACAGCCCACTTCTTCGGATGCATATAGAATGGAACATATATTGAGGAGATATAT